GTGCGCTGCCCTCTGAGCGGCGTCTGGAGGCCCGCCGCGCGCGCCGCGCGGCTGCGCGGGCTGCGGCGGCGGCGGCGCAGGCTCAGGCGCAGGCCGCGGCTGCGGGCGCGGGCGCAGGTGGGGGCGGCGGCGGCGGGGACGGCGACGCGGCTGGCGGCGACGCGGCGGCGTTTGCGTACGCGCTGCCCGATGCGGGCGACGACACGTGGGGCGCGGGGCCGGCTGCGGCGCCGGCGCCGGCGCCTGCGGCGCGGCCGGCGCCGGGCAGCGGCAACATCAGCAGCGAGCCCAGCAACAAGCTATTCATTGGCAATATTGGGTGGTGGGTCACCGAAGAGGACCTGCAGACGTGGTTTGGCCGCTATGGTGTGATCACTGGCGTTAAGGTGAGGGGGAACGGGGGGGTCCGAGGTGGAGGACGCTAGGCGGCGGCAGGGTCGGATGCGGGGGTGGCCGCTGGGCGGCGGGCACGGGCAGGCTGGGGCTTGGTTGATGAGGCACGGTTAATGAGGCACGGCGGTGTGCGTGGCGTTGAAAGAGCCCAAATGACTACCACAGGCACGTGTACACGTATGGACGGCTTGAGTGCAGTGAGGCAGGAACTGCATGCATGCATGCATGCGCGCACTGCATGTACTGCATGCGCACACTGGAAGGGTGCACGCACGTTGCACATATGTGTGCGCATCCACACCCCGCCGAAAAGGACCCACACGTCGCCCCTCCCCTCTTGCACACGCCCCAACCCCACCCCCCAGATCATGTACAACTCCCGCAAGATGCACAAGCCCAAGGAGAAGTGGCGCAGCCGTGAGTACGGCTTTGTCGACTTCTCATCCGCCGCCGAGGCCGCGCGCGCCATCGTGTGGATGGACGGCGCGGAGCTGCCAGAGTTGATGAAGGACCAGGCCGGCATCATAGTGCAGTACGCAAAGCCCGCCGGCGCCGCCGAGTGACGACAGCCCGTCGGCGGCGGAGCGGGGGCCCGCAGCGCGGCCCTGGCGGCCGGAGGGCCGGCGCGCCGCCCGCTGCGGCGCCAGCTGGCCGGCCGCGGGCCGGCCGCGGGCGGTGGCGCCTTGGGGCTGCGGCGGGTTGATCGGCGGGAGAGGTGCAGCGTTTCTTTGGGAGAGGTTTGATTCTAGGACCGCGCCCCCAAGCGCGGCGGCCGGTCAAAGAGCGCCGCTGCAGCAGGTCGGGTAGGCGGGCGCCGGGCTGGCGTGCGGCGCAGCGCCGAGCACGAGTGTGCCCGGGCGCGGCCTCGGCTCGCCTCGCCCCCGCCGTCTGCAAGGCATCGCTGCAGGCGGGCCGGCGGCAAGGGCCTTCCAGGGTCCCATTGCTCGCCGCCGGTGCGTGTTTTCAACATCCAAGGTTGTCGTTACCACTCCGTTTTTAGGGTCTCCTCACCACACCGTCGTCTCTAGCAACTTGTTGCCCCCAGGGCCGCGGTGGCCGCCTGCGAGGGCGGCTCCCCATGCCTTCCCCTAACCCGCGCCCCGGCCGCGCGCGCGCAGCCGCGGGGCGCGCGCAGGTTGCGGGGCGCGGCCCCCCGGCGCGTGCACTCGCGCGCCCGACCGCTGCCGGCCGCGTGGCCCGCCCTCCTGTCCCTCTACTTGCAACGGGACCCCCGCTGCTGCGGCGCGCTGGCGTCGCAATCCCTTATCTTCATCCAGGGGCACACGGGCAAGGCTTGCGTCGTCAGCAGCGGGCCTGGCCCGCGGCCGTCGGCCGTGCCGGCCTGGGAGCCTCGCGGCCCCCCGGGCCGCCGCAGACGCTCCTGCCGGCGCGCGCGTTGGCGCGCCTGGCCGCGGCTCTCGAGACGCAGCGGCCGGCCCGCCGCTCCCACCAATCCGTTATGGGCCCGAGCCCCGACCGTCCCGCCTTCCCGCGACTGTCGAGCCCCGCTCCGCCGGTGCGTGGCCTGTTTGCCCGCCCCGCGCCTTCGCTTGTTACCGCGATCCCCTCAAGCCGGCGTGCGCCGCGGCGCGTGCATGGCGAGAGGGGTGGCAGGGCCGCGCCGGCGCGGTCGGAGGGCCTGCGCCTGTCGGCCGTCTGGGAGGGACTTTCTTTATTGAGATTTGTTTTGGGCCCTATTCGGGGACACCACTTTTGAGGGCTGAGAAGGACAATGTTTCGGGGCGACGGCAGCCCCTACCCCTGCGCAGGATGCTCACTAGAGCTTCGCCACAAAAGCGCAACCCCCTGTGCGGTTTGGAACTGAAACGCCCGCGCGCCCGCTAAGTGCGCGCGCGCGCGCCCGTCCGACCCCAGTCGCTCGTGGCTTCCTGGCCGCCTCCGTCCTGCATGCCCCCGCGTGTTTTTGTTTCCCGCAGCCGCCCGTTTTTCTCCCTGCGTGTTGTGTGACAGCATTGTTGGAGCCCCGCACCCGCGGAGGCAACACGGTACCCCCACTCCACACCGCGCGCGCTTGCATCCCCCTCCCTCGCGGGCGGGTGCCGGCACCGCGTGCCGCCGGCCCGCTCCGTGCCCTCACACGCCTCCCCCTCCCATCCTGCACAATCGCAGCAGCCGCCAGCACTGCTGCGCCTGGGGTCCCCTGCCTGCGCGCTCCCCTCAACCCCAAACCTCGGCGCGTGCGCCCGCCGCCCTCAGGCACCCACAATCATGCTGCGGCCGCGCGCGCTCGTCGCCCCGCGCGCCTCTGCGCGCGCTCTTTGCCTGCGGGTGGCCCCGCTTCTTGCCCTGTGTGGGCCGGTTGCGGACCCCCTGCTACAGCAAACCCGGCACGCTGTAACGGTCACCCTTGTCTTATTCCTCAGATTCGACACGACCAGCCCCCCAGCAGCAGCCGCGCGCCGGGGCGGTTGGCTGGCGGCGGTTTCGGGGGTGGCGGGCCGCCCTCGCCGTGGCGGGTGGCCACAGGGGGCGCGCGCCGCCACTGGGTACGACACGTGCAGTCTGCTGCAGCACAGGTGACTTGGGAACACCACCAGTGGTTGGCCAGAAGCAGGCTGCCTGGGATGTTGAGAGGGGCCCGGGCAAGGGCCGCGACCTGCTGCCTTGCTCTTGCGGCCGCACCACTTGCGCGCGCTCGAGCCGGTCGCTTCGTGACTGAGTCCCTGGCAAGCAGCTGTGGTGTGACCGACCCGCAGCCAGGCCCTGTGACCAGCGACAAACAAAACTGCCCAAGGGGACAGTGCTGCTGGTTCGAAGCTTCACACATGGTTGCATTTCTTCGACAAAGGGGAGGCTGACAGGCGGGAGTGAACAGGGCGATGGAATGTACCACTGCGCAGGAGGTGCAACCACAGAATGCGGACGAGGAGGGCGCCAAACCGCCAAAGCCGGCGCGGCGTCCGCGAGGGGGGCCTGGAGCGCGGTCAACGGTCAAACGAGGCCGGCGGCGGGTGGGGAGCCCTCGAGGGGCTCCCCCGAGGTGCAGGTGGCCCACATGGCGGCGGCGGCGGTGTACAGTGCCGCCAGGACCCTGGGCC